TCCTTTCTGCAGGACGGCTTCGTCCGTGTGGACCGCGACTACGTGGCGCAGGCGGCAGAGCTGGCGCGGGCAGGGGGCTGCAAACACTTTGTCCTGCAGTCCTCCCAGGGGGCTGACCCGCACAGCCACTTCCTCTACCTCCGCGTGAAGGTGAGAGGGCGTTTGGGATGGGCTCCCTGTGCTCGTGCAGGAGTCACGAAACGCTGGGATGCTCAGAAAGTCTTGAGAGGTGCTCATGGCTCTGGGGGTCCTCCTGGTGCTGCGGGACAAGGGAAGGGGGATGGTGGGACAGGCACGTCTGGCTTTGTCTGAAGCAGCACAACACCTGCATGCAGCATGTACCTCTTCAGACCACAGAAAGATCTGCTAGGGTCTCCAGCCCAACCCTGGCTCCCCAACCCCAAGCTGGGATGGCTTTACAGCAGGGAAGACTCAGGGCTGCGTAGAAGTGAGACATGAACTGTGCAGGGCTGGAGAGCCCATAGGCTCCCTGGGTGGCACCATACTTGTTGCAAAACTTTTCTCCCTCGTATGTTGTGTGCTGCAGTCCCCAACACGTGCTGGACGTACTGCTGTCCGACAGTGTCTTGTGCTGGGACCCTCAGGCTGCAGCCTGTCCAGATGCTGTCTCAGGAACATCCAGCTGCAGTTAGCACGGTGATTGCAAGGGTGCGCTGCTGGCTAATGGTCAAGGGGTCCACCGTGGACGCTCCCTGTGCTACCTTCTCCTGAAGAGCTGCTCGCTGCCCAGGTGGTGCCTGCCCTGTACCAGCTTTGCGTTGGCACTAGTGCCCTGCTGCCCGCAGCTCAGCAGCCCTCTCCTGCCGATTCATGGAGTGGCAGGGTGGTGCCTGCAGTCACCTTTGTCTCCTTTCATCCTGCCCAACTGCTCTGACAGGGAGAAGTGGAGAACCTGGTCCAGGCTGTTGGTTTTGATCGCTGTACCATTCTCCGGCCAGCGTGAGTAGCAGCGGAGGGAGGGCACAGGGTTTGGGTTGTCAGGGCAGCAGGCTGGGGGAGCTGGAGAACGAGGGAAAGGAGGCATAAGGGGAGGGCTGGGAAGGGAAGTGGGGAAAGCCACCAGCTGCAAATGAAGCTCCTGAGAGAAAATGCTGCCACTCTGTGCTGCTGGGAGCAAGCACGGCAGTTTCCCACATCCCATCCCAGTGCTACTGTCACATGCAAGGAGAAGAGGCTTGGGTTGAAAGTGGAGGTTGAGGGACCTAGGTCAAAGCTTATCTCTGCACGGACCTTGGCCTTATGCGGGGGGGGTACTCACTTGTATCCTCTTGGCTGTACTATGCTCTTACTGCCCAGGAGAACTGGCATCCTGGTTTTGGCAGCCCTGTAAGGAAAGGAGCGTAGTATTCCAGGTCTCAGCTCAGTCACATTTCAAGACCTGCTAAAGCCCCATGGGCCCCATGTGGGTTTAGCAAGCTGGCTGAGACCCCAGAACAGCTGGAAAAGCCAGTCTCAGCTCTTCCCCCGGGGTGGTTTCAGCCTGACCCACCTTACCTCCTTGCTCTGCAGGGTGCTGCTGTGCAAGCGCCAGGAGTCCCGCCCCGGCGAGTGGGTGGCCCAGCAGTTTCTGGGCGTTGTGGCTCGGGTCTTCCCCACCGCTTACTCTGTGCCTGTGGAATCAGTGGCCAGGGCTATGGTGGCCAGTGTGCTGCAGCCAGCTGAGGGGAAGGTGGAGGTGCTGGAGAATAGGACCATCCACAAGCTGGGAAAGGCAGTGCCACAGAAGGGCACGTAGGGCAAAAGGGAAGGGCAGGAAAGAGCTTGATTCGGCTCAGATGCTCTTGAGTTCAGATGCTCTTCTGGGCCAAGGATGAATGCACATGTGGGCAAGGAGTGGGGTGCTTGCATGGCCAATGTAGTGGTAGAGGTGCACTTCTTTGCATGGCTCCTGATTCTGTGAAGTGATCAAAAAATGCAGGTGCTGGCTGGTGGGTAAGGACAAACAATGTGCTCTGCTGCCTGGAACCAGCATGGAAATCAAAGTGCAAATGGTATAAGCCAGGGAATTCAGACCTTGAATAAAATAATGTGACTGGTCCATTTGTGTCAACTTTGTTTTAAAATTGTTTGCCTCCTGCACGTTGCCAGCCCAACCACATCCGTTCTCAGATTGTGACACTTTTGGTGACACTTCAAAGAATGCACACGGCCAAGTGGCCACGCTGTAGGACAGACACCGGAAAGCAGAGACAGCACACAGCTGCCTGTGCTGAGCCTGCAGAGCACATGGTGGCACCACTTGGATAGCAGGGCTCCTGGAAGCTCAGCAGCCCGTGCTGATGTGCGTGGGGTGCTGGCTTTGCCAGCAGTAGGTCTCTGCAAACACCAGCATGTGCCAAGTCCTTGCTAATCTGCTCTGGGTGCAGAGGGGCTGCTACAGGGATGCTGCTGTTCAAATCGAGACAGTCACTTTGGTACCTATAGTAGCAAACCCACCATGCAAATACTTGTGGTTACTTGAACATGCCTGTCACCTCTGGCTCCTCTGGGCTTTCCTTATGGACATGAGTGAACCAGAGCTCAGCCCTGTTCCCAAGGGTGGTCTGCATGTGCAGGAGGTGAGGCCAGCTACCTGCATGTCTCAGAGCCTGCCCCACACTGCCCAGGTGCTGGAAGAGGAGCAGGTCCCTGGTGCTGGCACAGAGCAGATGTGAGGAGCAGTGCTGTGTCCCTGCTGCAGCCCTGGCTGTTCTCAGGCCTTGTGCTCAAGGTCGAGGAACTTGGCAGCTCCACAGCTGGGATGCAGGACTTACGTGACTCCCAAATTCCCAGCTGGCTGGAGTCCCAGTGCTCCGGGTAATGCTGCTTTCCAGGGTTTTCTCCTCTTTGACCTCACCCATGGCTCCTGTGTCAGTGACTTGGATGCAGCAAGCAGAGGGAGCCGGGATCCCCCATCTCCTTCCTTCTACACCAGTGCTTTAATCATTGGCTGGACCTCACTGGTGGAGGCAGTGGGATGGTGTGACCCCACACTGTGGTACCTGAATGACTCCTGAACCATAAGCAGGGTTTAGTTCAAAGGTAACAAATGAGGGGCCACAGAGTCACAATTACTGACCAGACTGTCCTGTGAGAGCAAAAGCAGGAACTTTAATCAAAGGGATATGGCTTAAAAAAAGGTGATGTCCTTATACAAGGGAGCAGAAACAAACACCTGAAGTAGAAAGACCTTAAAATAAGTGAAAATTGCATACAAAAAAAAGAATACAAGCTCTGGAAAATTACAGGTGAAGGAGCACAGGATACTTGAGGAAAGCATCCTAGATGTATGAAAATTAATCATGACCATGTGAGAAGAAGAAGAGCCTCAGGGACAGGACGTGATCAGGCTTTATGAGAGAAGGCAAATACCACAATGAAAAAGCTTGGTGAGTTACTTGCATTGGCCTTTGCTGTGAAGGAGCCCACACGAGGTTCATTCCTTAGGGGACATGCTGTTGCGTGACTGTCCCAGGGCACTGGGGAAAAAGAATAAATAGACATTTTAACCATATTTTTAGAACACATGGTTAAAAATCTGCGAAGAGCACTCAGATGAATTGCCAAATACTTGCCTGGGTGACAATTACAGTGATCCCTCTACCAAAAACCCCATGTTGTTAAATATGAGTCTAACTTTTAAAAAGTTCCAGTGGGAACCAGGAAACTGCAAAGCACTGAGGCTGCCTTCTATAAAAGGCAAGTTGTTAGAAAGGATAACAAAGTCTTGAAATAGCAGAGCCCAGGATAAAACTGGTGTTATGAGAGATTCCACGTGGCTTTTGAGGGGGCAGCTGCAAGGCACAAACCTAGAGCTCTCTTGGAGACAACCAGCCATTGTGTACACAAGACAATCTGGTCCTCAGAGTGTACTTGGAGCTCCAAAAAGCTCTCCCAGAAGGGCTCTTAAAGAAATTAAGCTGTCGTGGGAAGAAAAGGAAGGTCTGAGTAGTTTCTTATGGAAATATTTTCATAGCACTCTAAAGCCTTGAAATGAACAAACCAAATATTTCTCATTTGACAAAAGTCTGGGGAAAATACAAGCTATTTTCTGTGTAACCCTTGTTTCTGCTTAATGGTGTATGTTTTCTTTTTCAGTGTTTCAGATAAGTCTCTGCTTAAAATGCACAACTGCAACTCCAGCACAAGCCATAGTTTCCTTATAACCCTCTCACATGAAGCTTCATCACCCATTTTGGACCTCAGTTTTCCCCAGCTTGCTCTGTGCATTTATTAAATGTACCCTAGGGCTGTGGAAGAGATTATGGTGTCAGTCACTGAGCTATGGCAGAACCAAAGGACCAGGGGATTTGCCCACCCAGGGCTGAAAGAGGTAAAGTAGGTCTTTAGGGGACAGACCCTGTTCCTCCATGGGGTCTCTTGGGGCCAAGCTCCAGGTTCCTCCAGGCAGCCAGGTGTCCATGGAGAGGCTGGCTGCTTTCCAGGGCCACAGCTGGAAGGGGAACATGGGTGCCAGCTGGACAGCATTCACACACACCACCTGATCCCACAGATCTGAGCTCCCCCAGGATTTGCAATCCTGACTTTATTACTGAAGATTAATGACAAAAAATAACAGTGCTCCCAATGGCTTTGCAGCCAAGCACAAGGCTGCAGAGTTTTCCAGGGTAGTCCCACAGCCCCACTGCCAAGCCTGGCAGCTGTGCAAACCACAGCACCTCTCACTGTGACCTGCTCCCCTCCACATCCACATAGCACCCTGCAAACAGTACCTCAACTTGGCAGGAGCTTTGCAGTAGCTTCTGAGATGGTAGGCACTGACCTGGTACTTTGCATCCCCTGGTGACACCCCTGCTAGCAAACACTCTGGTCCCAAGGGCAGTTGGCACAGCTCAGCAGACCTGCCCAGCTTGCAAGGCTGCAGTCTCCAGGAGGGCAGGGAGCTGCACTTCAGCACCTGGGAGATCAGAGAATCACACAGTGGTTTGGGTGGAAAGGGACCCAACATGGGCAGGAACACCTTCCACTAGACCAGGTTCCCCAAAGCCCCAGTGGAGCAATTGGGTTCTGGACTACCCCAAACTGGGGCAAGGCATCCCCACACTAGTAACAGAGCCTTCTCCTGAAGGAGGCAAAGGACAGGGCAAAATGATAGCAGCTGGTGAAGGAGTCACCTACCTCCATCCTCTGCTGCTGCTGCCATTGCTTCCTTCTCTCCTCTATGAGGCACAAGGTGGGCAGCACCCCAAAGCTGAGCAGTAGGAAGGGACAAGCTCCCATTCCAGCAGGTCTGGCACCCTGCTTGGGTACATCTTGGAGTCCCTAGCATCTCATCCTCTGAAATTTTAGGGTGTACGTGTTTCCTCCTGTTTCCATTACAAACTAGTAAACAGCTAAGCCAGGCTCCCCAGGGAGGCTCAGCTGGTTTCGAGCAGACTTCCAGCTTTCAGTTACTGCACTCACATGTGGAAACACAGGAGTCATTTGCTGCATAAACCCAGAACAGCAAGAGATAGGATTGCAATGCAGGTCCAGAGTCCACCCAGGAGCCAGAGCCAGGCACACCTCCAACACTTTTCAAGGGGAAATAGGGCCTGGGCTGAGCTTAAATGTAGCCCTGGGCTGAGGGGACAGGTGGGACTAGTTTGGGCAGTTAAAGCCATTATTGCCCCCAGAAGCTGGACAGCCAAACTGGAAGCAAGGTCTCATATTCCCAGCTTTGAGCTGTGGATGTTAAACAAAACACTTAAATGCACTTTTTCAAGGTCACTGCAGCAGCTGAGGTTGGGGACAAGCAGATGGCAGATTTCCAGGGTGAACCCTGAGCCTGGACTCTGGGCAGGATGCCCGGGGGATGCCCTGGCTGGGCTGGAGCAGAAGGTGGAGGCAGAATGGAGCCACACACTCTCAGTGGGCCCGTGCTGGAGCAGGTGTAATGGCACAGGCACTGGTGTGGGGGCAAAGGCCCACGTTGCTGTCAGTCCTGTTACACACCCTGCAAAAGAGTTGGCACTGGGGCCCCCAGAGCCACCCTCTGTGTGTCTGAGGGTTTTCTCCTCGTGCTGGCTCTGGTCTGGCAGTGCAGACCTGTGATGGGCAGTGTTCCAGGATGTCCCTGCTAGGGATGGGCTGTCACATCCCAGCTGGAAGCCAGAAAGGGAAGAAAACTCCTGGAATGGCTGCAGTTACCCTCTCTGCTCTGGGCACCACTAGGCAGCAGGAGTGACCCCCCTGCAGGTGCTGCCTGCAGCTCCCCCTCCCCGGGCCGCTGTGGGGAGCCACAGCTTTGGCTGCAGGGCCCCTTGGAGCCAGGGCATCCCGGTCCTTGCCTCTCAGCAGGCAGCCTGTCTCTGGTGCTGCACCTCTGCTGGGCCTGGGTGCCTGGCTGAGGCTGGGAGGAAGTCAAGCCACAGCTGTCACCATCACAGAGAGGCACCGGCTCTGTGATTGCAGGGTTTTGTGCAGCAAACAATCACATCTCACCCGAGCAAGCAGAAACACTGCAGTGCTGTGCAGCACCCAAGCTGCAGGTGAGCCAGGGGCTGCATCCTGGTGGGGCAGAACCGGGGCAGAGCCCAGGGGGCAGGGGGAGGCAGAGACCAGTCCCTGCTCAGGCCCCTCATCCCACATCAAGAGCAGCTCTTGGCTCTGGTGTGTGTTTTACTGCTGTGAAGGGCGATGGAAGAAGGGTCTAAATTTTCCATTTAACAGAATTCTGGGTGGAAATCCTTTTGGGCCTCATCAAAGTATCACTATCAGATAAAACTGGAACCTTTGCTATGATTAAAATATTAATTTTTTTAAAAGCTTACATTAAAATGAGTTTGTTCTGGAACAACAGTCACTCTTACTCACCAGCCAGTAACCACTGTGGAAGCTGTTGGGTATTTTGACACCAGCCACAGCCTTTACATCACCAGCAAGACTTCTGTTAAGCACTTTTCTTTTTTATGAAAGTGACATTTAAAATTGAAAAAAATCCCTCACTCGAATGAAGCATTTCTACCTGCTTCTTCTAACTGCTGACCAAGAGCCTGATATATCATTCAGAAGAAACCCTGTGGGCTTCCTGGAGCCCCCTCAGCAGCGGCTTGGCTCTTCCTGATCTCACGCCAGAAAACCCACATTTTCTGCCCCCCCTGGAGAGCCTAGAGATGAGAAAACAGAAGGTGCTGGGCCCGGCGGCTGCGGGACAGACAGCGTTGGTTCTGGGGCTGGCAGGGCTCCAGCTCCCGGCGCTATATAGGAGGGAACGGGGGGAGCTGGGCTGCAGAAGGAGCTGCCGCTGCCTGCTCGAGCCATCGCTCACGCTCTTCTCGTGGCTGAGGAAAACCACAGCCTGCCAAGATGTGCAAAGGATTAGCAGCGCTGCCCCACACGTGCCTGGAGAGGTGAGAGCGGCCAGGCTGTGCGGGGGTGGCGGGGGGGGCTGCCCCCCATGGGCTCTGCCAGGGGTGGCTGGGGACAGGGAGGCTTTTCCTCCGGCACATCCCCGTGGTGGACACCTCTTACGGGCACGGGGATAGCCCAGCTCCGAACTGGGAGGGAAGGGAGACTTGCTGGAGGGGGTCAGCAGGGTGCTGCGAGTGTGGGACCCTCAGGCAGGCAGCTGAGGATCCAGTCTCAAAGTTCCCTCTGGTTTGGGAACCTCTCTGCTGGGGAAGTCTGGGCTGCCCCAAACCTACCCCTCAACCTCAGCTGCTGCCCTGTACAGACTTGGAGCAGGAGAACCTTGTCCTGAGACTTGAATATTTGCAAAACATGAGGGGGAGGAAAAAAACAGGAAAGTGGTTGCCTTTCTGAGGCAAAACCAGCCCTGGCTCCAAGGTGCCTCAAAATCCCCTTTAACTTCCTGTGTCTGCCCTGCACACAGATTAGCCAGCCCTAGCCCCTCTCAGGAGGCTTGGCTCTGTGCAGAGCACCCACTGCCCTGCTTGTGGCATCATCCTCATCCTCATCTTCACTCCCCTCCATCCCAGCACCTGGAGGTGCTGGTGCTTCCCAGGCTGCTCCCACCCCCTGGGATCCCAGACAGGCTCCAGCCCCCAGCCCTTTCCATGCTGATCAAAACCTGCACTCTGCTCCCCTTCTGTGGCATTGGAGGGGCTTTGGAGGGGGTCTAGGGAGAAGCCGAGGTGCAAGGGAGGCCACCACACAAGGCTGGGGTCTCTCTGCACAGCAGGATGCTCAATCCATCATCTAAGGTGGGAACTTGGTAAAAGGCTTTACTCATGCATTAACCAGCAAGGATTTCCTCACAGCTGCAAGAGTGCAAAAAGCTGTCTTTTAGCTGAGAGGGAGGGTGGCATTTGGTGTCCCGGGTGGAGCTCAAGAGAAGTCCTGCTTTGGTGGCTGAAGCTGTGCTGCTGGGGGCTGATGCTGCTGCCCAAAATGCAGGGAAATGCCCGCCACACACACGGGCAGGAGCATGGCCTGTGGCATTGTCTTTGTTTCAAACATGCCTTTTGGCCATGCTTGTGGCCCCATGCTCACCTTGCTTGGTCTCCCACAGCCTCCTGGACCGTAGGCATCTGAGCAGCGCTCTTCCAGAGGTGGTTGATCCATACATTTCTGTTCTGCTGTCATCTTTGTCATCACTCTTCCACTACTTTCTAATACTAAATTAGTTTTTTCCCCACTGCTGCTGTGCTGATGCTTTCATTGGCCTCTGTTGTGCCCTCAAATCCCTGCTCCTGAAGGCAGCCTGCCTTACACTTTTATACACAGAGTCAGGACTGGGTTTGTCCTGCATGCATTGTTCTGTTTTGCTCTGTGAGGAATTTCAAGAGCTGTTTCATTACCAGTCTTATGAGACCCTCTTGCAATTCCTCACAGCTGGTCCCCCAGTGCTGTGCCTGGGCAGCACAGTATCTGCTGCTCAGCTCTTCTCCCCACACATGTGATATGTTTAACAGCATGGTCCCAGCCCACGTTCCCCTGTGACCATTCCACAGAGGAAAACACACCACATACTCTATGCGTTGGTTCCTACTTTTCCCATGTCATCCCTGAGATGACTTTTCCCCTGCAGCTGCCTGGGGTCTGGAGAGCCCCTCCAAGGTTTGCTGCAGACCCAAGTGGCCGGTACCCCTGACTCTTGCCAAGGCACGTGCTTTCTGGGCTCTTCAGAGAGGGCTGATAGGTTTGAAGGAATCTCTTCCTACTGCCAGAGCTGCACTGACTCCTCTCCAATAGACCATATTTGTTCATGTGTCCACCAGTGCTGTCTGATACAGCTGCTGCTGACATGCACACACAGTACCATACTTACAGCTTTATGGCTTCTTGAATCCCCCTTGGAGCCCTTTTCCTCTCAAGGGATGTTCCCTCTGGCACCTCCTTGCCCTTGGGCACAGCAGCAGCTTTAGCTTTCAGCTACAGCTTTAATTTCTTCGAGCTTCTTTTTTTGTTTGTTTTGTTTTATTTTGTTTTTAAAATTGGAGTCTCTCCTGGCCCTCCCCAGCAGCCTTCTTGCTCTTGATATGTTTGACAGAGCCCATATTTTCTTTTAATGCTTCTTGGAAGCTGTTTCTCAGACTTTTTCTTGGCTTGCTCCTGTATGTTCTCACACTTAACCTTCCACAGTTTATGGTCATCTTGCTTTTTCTCACTCAGACATAGCCAAGGGGCGGGTTTTGAATGATGCCTTTTTGTTTATAACTGCCTTTTTTACCCTGCTGTTAAGCCTTTGCTGAAGTCTTGCTTGAAAGCTTGTCTGCTGGAGGACGCCAGGATGTCTTTAAATAGTCTTCCCCTCCCACCAGCCTGCAAGCTCTCAGCCTTTTTGGCTCTCCTTACTTGCTTCCTTTCAACAAGCTTCCTCATCTCTGTGGGCTCCCCACACTTCACTGAGGCCCCACAGCCAAGGACTTGCTTGAGGTGGGGAAGTTCTTGGTGCTATCCCCACACCAGAACCTTCAGGGCTTCAGCAAGGTGGTGATACATCAATAACCCCACAGGGCAGAGCAGGGATGGAGCTACCCAAGGAGCCCTGTTGGGAGCAGCAAGCGTGGGGCTGCAGTATAGGTCCAACATCCATCCAGGAGACCAGGCTGAGGAGAAACTCAAGGAAAGGTGGCCCCAGGGTTGAACTTATATTGAGCCCCCAGCTGTGGGCTGGTGTGAGCCTCACCTGGGGCTGCTCAGGGCCATTGATGCCCATTAGTGAACTTTGAACCTGACAGGTGGTGGTGTCACAGGATGGAGATTGGACAGCAAGATTTTGAACCAGGTCTAATCGTGAAGACACTGTGAATTGCATCCACATCTTGCGTGTGCATCCACATCTTGCGTGGCCTCATCTGCACTAGGGTGGGGGGTCCCCAGGTCCTGCTTGGGCAGTGACAGAGTCCTGGTTCTGTCTTCCCACCTCATCAGGCTGTCCTGTTAGATTTGGCTCTCAGTGCCCAGGTTGCCAGCACAACCCATGATTTCCCCCTGGCTGTTTGGGGCCCCCTGGCATCCACCACCCTCACTTCAGAGGCAAGTGAGCCCCTTCCCTCTTCCTCTTAATTCCTGCTCCTGCCAAATAAAAGCCTCATGATGGAGTGCATGGTCTGATTGCCTGGAGGGGACTCTCCCTGGCTGTGGCCCCTTGTCCCCTTTGCCCGCTCCTCCTTGCTGCAGTTGTGCCACTCATGGGGGTCGGGGCTGTGCCATGGGGACCCTGCACAGTGGTGTCAGCCCAGGGGCACCTGAGGCTCGCAGAACATCCAGCCCCAGGTCTGGGTGTCAGGAGCCAGCTCCTGCTTGGAGCATTCATCTGCGCTTCTTTAAGAGGGAGAGGGATAAAGGGTACACAGCAGCATCCCTGTCCCAGAGACACCTCAGTGCGGGGAGCGTGGGGACCTCATCACCCTCTGCCTGAGGTCCTGGTCTTTCCAGGCAAGACCCAAGTTTTCTCAGAAGTGGGAAAAACAGAAGCCATCCCTGGAGCAGCTGACATTTTCCATGCAAACAGCTGTGTTTCTGGCCCTGTGCTCCCTGTGCTGTGCAGCCATGGCAGGCGCTGGGCTGCTGGCCCCTGCTGGCCCTGCTCCTGTGCCGGGGTGGCTGTGGGAGGTCTGTGGCTGCAGCAGAAGCAGGGGAGCAGAGCCCATGAAGGGTCTCAGAAAGTCACCCATAGGGGCTAGCAGCTGGAAAACCAAAACACAGAGGGATTTTTTCAAGAAGGGGAAAAAAAACCCAGCAGGGATGGAAATGGAATAGCAGACATAGCCAGGAAACAATCATCCACAGAGGGCTTGTGCAAATAAACAGCAGAGAGCAACGCAACGACCCACGGAGCTGCAGCCCAGCTCCCACAGCCCTGCCCAGAGCCCTTCTTCCCCTTCTGCCCAGGGGAAGCAGCACCTAGGGGTCACCTGTCTACAGGACCCTTTCTGTTGCAGACATAAGGCTCATATGTAACTTAGGAGTGAGCAGAGAACCCGTGCACAGTAGCAGGAGGTTGGTGTGTTGCTGGCAGCAGCATCGCTGCTGCTCCCCGAGACAGCAAAAGAAAAATAACTTAATCTTCATAGAAGTGCCTAGAAAGGAGGAAGCCCCCAGACGTGAGTGCTTGGGAGGGTCAGGGGTGGGCACAGAGCACACCAAGGAGAGTTTCACCCTGACTTTGGCAAGTACAGAGGTATGTGCTAACGTGCACCCCCTGGGACAGGGAGGGTTTTGGCTGCAGGTGCAGGGGAGCTCAGCACGGAGCGCTGGGCTCAGGGGCTGCACCCTGGGCCAGAGACAGCCACCTCAAAGTGCTCAGGGAACACGATGAGGACAGATTCCTGCCCCCTGTGGCTGCAGACCAGGACGTGGGGAGGGCACCCTGCTCTGGAGGGGTAGCAGGGCTGGTGGGTGTGACGCGGGATCGGGCTCAGTGTGAGGCAGGCACTGCTGTGCAGCCCAGCACAGCACCCAGGGAGCTCTTCCATCTCCTCACCAGCATTTCCTCAGGGCACATCGCTATAGAAACTGGGTGCTGCACTCACATCCCATAATTCGTCCTCAGAGCAACCCACCAGCTCTGCTGATACAATTATCCCAGCCACAGATGGGGACAAAACAAAGAGATAGAGATCAAGAACTGCTGGTGATTCTGAGTGCCCAATTTTAGATGCCTCAGTCAGACACCTTTACAGCATTAAGGTCCATTTGTCTGTGTGTAATTAATTACACAGCTTTTTACCTCACTGGTGACCAGCCAGCGTCTGTGCTGGCACAAGGCAGGAGACCATCCCTCTGCCTGACCAACCTCTGCTTCTCCCCTCCCACAGGGCCAAGGAGATCAAGACCAAGCTGGGCACACTGCTCCAGAAGCCCGACTCGGCCATTGACTTCATCATCCTGCACCCAGAGAAGCCGGAGAAGCCTCCCAAGGCCCAGAAGTGAGTACAGTGCCAGAGCAGGCTGTGCTGGCACCCATGCCCAGCTGGAAGGGTGCAAGCCCTTTTGGGATGCAGAGGAGCTGAAGCCCCTGCTTTGGGGTGCAAGGTGGGCACAGAAGGCTTTTCATGGCCAGCAGCTTGTGGCAAACTCTTCGTGACCCACCAGCTTGGTAACATCAGGGCAGCATGAGACATGTCAAGCAATACAGGTTTATAGAAACCAGATTTCTCACAGAAACTTAAGTTTGATGAGATTTCATGTTATTTGATAAAAGTTTTGCCAGGGGCATCCGACACTTGGATTCCTCTGAGTCACCTACCTCAGCCCAGAGGTGACAGCCTTGCACAGCTTGGTGGCTTCAGGGGGCAGCGTGTCCCTGAGCTCAGTGCACGGTCCTACAGCACAATGCCTGGCTCCAGGTAGCTCCATGGAGATGGTACCTTCCCACCTTCCTGCCCTGAGCCTCTGCTCTCCACCACTGAGCTGGTTTAATGACAAAGCAAAGCAGAGGAGAAGTCAGGCTGATATTGTGTCTGGATTAGGAGTTACAAGGAGGCAAAATAAACCTTCAGAAGAAATAATTATCGACAGCAAGTGCAAATGTCAGTCAGGGTTCAGAAAGGGAATGATCAGAGCCCCCATCATGGTCTTTACTGCTGGGCACTGACAGTTTGATGACAAGTGAGGGCTGGATGTCCAACCTGAGCAAGTCTTGCCCTTCTGCTGTTCTCCTCTCCCCCTGAAGCCACCTGGGCAGAGCAGGCTGGGTGGGAGCACCTGTGCTTCCACCAGACCCACCAGTAAAGCACCCAGGACCGACAGGTTGTCCTGCCTGCTGCTCCCTCCCCGTTCCCAGGGATGCTCCACTCACCCAGAGCATTTCCCGTGTCCCTGCGACAGCAAAACCCGGCTGGGAGCGGGGAGGGTCTGCAGAGAGAGCCGGGCGTGGGGAGGGCCCGGTGGGCAGCAGGGAGGGACCCTCTGCTCCCGGGGCTTGAACAAAACCCCAAACCAACCACAAACTCTTTTCTGTCACGTAACGAGCATTGTATTTAGAAAGAAGAAAAAAAAAAAAAAGAAGCGGAAAAGCCCCGCACATGTCAAACCCTGAAGGCTTCACTGTGTGGGGGGGAGGAGGGAGCGGAGGGCAAAGTCCTGTCCCCGCGGGGCGTGGGAACGGGCCGGGGGCTGCGGGAGGGCGGGGGGGCTGATCCCAGCCCCGCAGCTCAGCCGGGGAAGGAGCCGGCCCCTCCGCCCTCTCGTTCCGGCAAGGAGCTCCTTCCCAGCGCAGCGGGAACACCCGGGGATGCTTCCCAGCCCCCCGCACAGCCCCGCTCCGCGGCTGCACAGGGGGCCCCTCGCTTTGGGATTCAGTCATGGGTCTGCTCAAACACGGGGGGATTTGCCCACCCAGCCCCGTCCCCTCACCTTCCCTGGCACTGGGATCTCCACCGGAGGAGGCTGCTCACGGGGAGGTGCAGCTGCATCTCCGCTGCCCGGCCACTGCCCACACCCAACAGTCTCCACAGCTTGTTACTCCTTCCCCCCCCATTTTTAAAGGAGTTCCTTAAAAACCTGAACCCTGGCCTGGGGCTGTGGGGTAAAAGCACGTATCCCCCGGCCTTGCTTTACTCCCTTCAGGCCGTCACTGGAGGAGGCTCTGCAGTGGCGTGACTCCCTGGAGAAGCTCCTGCAAAACCCCTGTAAGTCACATCCCCCTGTGGCCACACTCCCCCATCCCGTGCTCCCCCCTGGTGCTCAGCAGGGGCTCGGCCCCCTCGGGGACCCCCGGTGCTCAGGGAGTGCTGCCCCCCCAGACGGGCTGGCCAGCTTCCGCAGCTTCCTGCGCTCCGAGTTCAGCGAGGAGAACGCTGAGTTTTGGGTGGCCTGTGAGGAGTACAAGAAAACCAAGTCACCTGAGAAGATGGTGGAGAAGGCTAAAAAGATCTACGAGGAGTTCATTCAGACCGAGGCACCCAAAGAGGTCAGTGATGGCAGGGCAGGAGATAGTACCTGGAGGGGACGCGGCCTCTGCCCTGGTGGCCTCCGTCCTAGAGGAGAGGGATGGCTGCAGGGCACCACAAACCATGGCTGAGGAGCTCAGGGAGCTCTGCCCTTAGCAAGAAGCAGTTCCATCCCCACAGGCTGCACTTCTATTCTTCAGAGCCCTGGTGTCCCTCTTTCCATGCTCACCATCTGCTGGGCTGCCTCTTGCCACAGGCACCTTCAGCACTTGTCTGTTCACCTCTCCCCACAGAGGGTTTAAATTAATCATAAGGGAATGACAGCTTATGTAAACCTCCCCACGGAGTTAGATTTGCTGCTGGATAGACCTCATCCTTACAGATTTGCCACCAACAATTCTCCCAAATACGTGAACCTGCTTCAGTCCCTCCTCCTAACCTTTGAGGGGTTGGTGGTGGGACAGAGCAGGTGAAGGGAGATGCCATCACCCACCTCTGGCAAAGCCGAGGTCTCCATCTCTCTTACACTCCCATCACAGGTGAACATTGACCACTTCACCAAGGCTGTGACCATGAAGAACCTGGTGGAGCCATCGCTGAGCAGCTTTGACATGGCCCAGAAGAGGATCTTTGCCCTGATGGAGAAAGACTCCCTGCCCAGATTTGTGCGGTCGGAGTTTTATCAGGAGTTAATCAAGTAGCAAGGTGGCAGGGCTGGGCGAGGCGCTCCCCGCGGGTCATCCCACTGCTTCTCTCTAAACACCTGCCCCTTCTCCTGCAGCTGCTTTGCTTTCTTGATACCACCCTAGAAGAGCACCCAGGGGAATTGCTAAACATCTCCCTCTGTGCTTTGGACTGTCAGATATCCCGGTGTTTCCTCTCTTACAGTCTCTTTCCTCTCCCACACAAGACCAATTAGCAGAAACCCCTGGTGATCCTCCCTGGGTCTGGGACCCAGAAGGGCAGTGGAGCAGCCCCAGCTCTGCAGTGACCAGGAGTCCCTCGGGCAGCCAGTGTGTTCCTGACATTGTGGGGCTCAGCTTTAGCTTAGCCCAGGCTTTCTGGGGCAGTGCTGGGGCTGCACAGGGCACCCTACGGGCACTGCCCTCCCCAGCCCAGCCCAGCATTCCAGCAGCCCCAGTGTGCAGGTGGGCATGTCCACTGTGGGGTCAGCATCATCTTGTCTCCAGAAGGCAGGCGCAGTGAAGGATGGATGGCAGGGACAGTTGGATGGCAGAGGTGGCTCTACAGCAGTGACAGCAGGGTTGGAGGCTGCAGGGGGCACCTGGCTGGCAGGAGGGGTGGGCAGCCCTGAGACAGCCTGTCTGCTTCACACTAAAAACAGTTAATAAGATCAAGCAAGATCTGCCTGTTCAAAACACCGGGACTGTTTAGCAACCCAGACCTCCCGCTCGCTCCGACCCCTTGCACGACGCCCTGAGCTCACAGCCCCAGCCTGTGCCCACACAGCCTGGCCACCCCTCAGATCCCAGCTGCAGTGATCACAGCAGCTGTTCCCTGCTCCAGTTGCTTCTCTCTGCAGCAGGCACACCAAAGTGCTACTTCTGCACAAACCCAACTGGGGGGCATCGATTAGAGGAGAGAGGAAAAAAATCATGCTGGGGGAGAAAAAGCTGCTAATTGCAACTGTTCAGATCCAATTAAAAAAACCAATCAAAACCAACAACAAAACACCAACAAACCCAAAAATACTATCAGAAAATGAAAAATAAACCCCTGTCTGCTTGAAGAGATGGCAAACTGCTCAGTTTGTGTAGGCTATGGCTCTCTCTCCTGTCTCCTCCCCTCTTCCCAGGACGTGTGTTTCCATAAGGCTGTCTCTTAAAAAGTCCAGCTCTTTTCAAATGAACCAAAGCCAGCCCACAGTTCCCTAGCAGAAGAAATCACACCTGAGGATGGGACAAGGGCAAATGTGAAAGGCAGCTGGGGTCTCACGTCAGCCTCGAGGCAAATACGATGAACACCTGCTCCGTTTCATCCCTGGGGGGTTTCCTGGTGCAGCACCCACAGAGCTGTGTCTACAACATTCTGCGGGGATGGACTTGTCCAGCCAGCAACTCAGCAGATGTGGGCAAAATAACAAGTAACTTCTCCCAGCAGGCATCTTGGGCCAGGCACGCTCCTTCAGGCTGCTCAACCTCAGCTGCAAGTCATGAGATTCCATGCAAAACACAGTAACATAAACAACTGGTTTGCCAGCCTCTTAAAGACTTTCAAAACCTGATCAAAACCTCACCAGCCCCAAATATTTACATGGTGTCACTATGGTGATGAAGAAAAATACATCCCGATCTGTAGGAAGTGGGCTGCACTCTCCAGGCAGGGATAGGGAGACAGGGGAAGGATGGAGGCCATCACAAACCTGACTTTTCTTTTCCTGTGGAGCAAATGGCCTGAGAAGGTCGGTGCTGGAGCAGCAGTGGGTGATGTTTGCTGGGCATTCCCCTGGGGTGAGCACAGCTGGTGGCTTTGGTGGCCCCAAAAAGCTGTTAGGGAGCCCACAAGCCTTAGGGAGGAGTTGAAAGTCCTGTTGAAAGGGGGCAGGATCCCCCAGCAGCACCCGCTGCCCAGAGCTGGTGGGCAACACAGGGGAGGCAGGAGCAGGGCTGGGCATGGGAAGGGGGCTTGGCCATCCCTTCTGCCACAGGTGCTCCCACCGCCTCAGCCCCCGTGTACTCCGGGCACTCCCCTGGTGTCTCCATGAGCTGGTGTCAGAACAAGTGGGTTCAGCATGTTCAAGCTCCCTATTTAGAGTGTGACTCATAGAAATGCAAAATGAAAGAGGCTTCCCTGCAGAAAGACCCAGATCTTTCATTTTTACTTAATCCTTTGGCAGCTATTTCCAGATACCCTCACACATTTCACAATTAAAGCCAAACACGGATGCCATAGAAGTCTGGATGCTGCTGGAACCTGAGATGTCATGAGCTGCAACAGCAACACGTGGGACAGGGAGAAGGTGTCTGGGTATGTATGTGCTGAAAAGAAAGGTGGAGGCTGGATTCAGGAGAGATGAAACAGCTCTATTGGAAATCCCTTCCCAGCTTGATTCCTGCTAAAATGTTGGAAGCCTACTTCAGGGGGTGATGGAACAGGTGACAGTGAGCTACTGGGTGGTGAGAAAATGTGGCCCCTGAAGCATTCTGGAGCTCTTGGGAAGTGTGTTTGTGTAGAAGGGTCATCTGGCTAATTAGTCGGGCAGGCTCACCCCAGAAAGGCAGCAATGCCTGTACCCACCCCAAGGACAAGAGGTATTTACTGTCAGGCTGATACCAACCATCATATTTCTGGTAGGAAATACTTCATTTATTTTATCACTCTTGCTCTCAAGAAATTTGGCACAGGTATGAGCACTATACACACAACATTGTACATCTGTATCCCTATGGTCATATATAAGTATACACACACACACATGTATATGTAGTTGTAACGTAAGCATCTAGATCCTCAGTGGGTCAGAGAGTCACAAAGCAGAGTTTCTGGATGTTGTGCTTGGGATCCTTCACAAAGATGCACGTGTGGGTTTAGTGCAGTCCCAGACTCTGCTGAGGGAAACCTTGGCCACCCACCAGAGTGAACATGAAGGTGCAGCTTCCAAAACACCCTCTGAAGTCACCTTGTGCTCATGGCTACTGCGTGCCTGCAGCCCCAGCGTGTCCTAGCACCTGGGCCAGCACAGGGGGCAGCTCATGGTCTCTGAGGGACCCCAATCCCTGCCGTGGGGCAAGGCAACCCCATGCTGCAGTGAGGGTCCCTGGGCACCAGGTGCTGCCTCCATGCCTCCCTGGTGCCTACTCACCACCACAGGGACACATGAAAGAGGGCTCCTTGCAGCTGCATCTCTCAGACTAATGCCAGGGGATCACTTTCTGGTTACTTCAGTGACCTGGACCCTAGCACCTCACCAGCCATGGTGTGAATCACACAGCTCTCCCCCCCATGCCAAGGGAGGCCTTTGCCAGTGCTGCCCTGGGAACTGCCAAAGCTTGCGAGGCAGTGGCAGGAGTTGCCCCCTGCCCACAGGGGGATGAAGGTGTCCCAGGACTCACCCAGACTCCTCCCAGTTCTTGGTCACTCCCTGGAGGGTGCCGAGTGCTGTGGCCAAGGTCTTAAGCAAGGTTGGGAGAGGGGATCAGCTCCTCACACTGGCAAGCAGCAGGTTTTCAGTCTGATGTTCTCCATGTGCTTTCCAGTAGAGATCTTCGTGCAGGGCTGTGGTGTGCACCGAGGAACTGGTTGTGTCAACTCATATTTATGTACCACTCAGTAATCCACACATAAACATGTATTTCTGCTACCACTTTGATGGACTGTTCATTTTGTCTCTTTGCACTGAAGGGGAAGCATTTCCTTACCCTCCACAGGGTACTCCCAGAACCTATGCTCAAAAGCCCTGGCGTGACCAAAGGCCTCTGAGAGGTTCTATTGCAACAGATGTGGTGGTTTCTCAGGAAAGTGGACAAGGAATAAAAAGGTGGCCTCCAGTCCTGCTTGCCCCCAGCCACGCTGCAGTCAGGCAGCAGGTCTGCACTTGCAGGGTTTGGGCCAAGGGACAGGTTGAACTCTGAGCTCCTCTGGAGCTCCGGGCAGGAAAGCATTTGCAGTGGGGAGGTTGCTCCTTTACATTCCTATCTCCAAGGCTGTTGAGGGGGGCTCATGCTCACCCCAGCCCTTGGTGAGACAGGTGGTCCCTGAGCTCACTGTCAGGCACAGCATGGACCCCAAAAAGCCCAGCATCCCACAGGCTCACCCTGCCAAGGGTATCTGAAAGATATAGTGGCTGTTCCATCTTCCCATAATTTATAACAACCTCTGAGTTAGGCCATTTGAAAAATGGCTTTTTAGAGTAACCTTGGCCAGCGAGTTGCATCTCCACTCATTTTCTTCGGTTCACACAGTGGCCTTTTAGAAGTTACTAATGCAAACATTTTTATTGAATGTATCCATTGTTATTTAAATATCAGTACAGTTTTGGCAATAATTATCAAGAATTCCCAGTACCAGGGGAAAATAAAACATAGCCACATGCTTGGCCATGTTCAGAGCATTAGCAAGCCTCTCTATGTCTTAGCTGAACATGCAGGAGTGGTATGTGTCAGCACAACCTAATAAATAAAAAATAAAGCACATGTTGAAAGACATGCTTCTCTGTGGGCCTGGATGTGCCTACTGGAGAACCACAGCCTCCTCTGCCATGTAAAAACCCTGATGTGAGAACTGTTGTCTGGACAGGGATGCAGAGTGAAGAATGCATGGCTGTCAGAGTAGCAATATCCAGCTAAGGGGAAACCAAGGGTTGGGGGACAGTGTCACCAACAGCCACAGGACTGCTCAGAGGAAGCAGTCCCAACTGCTGGTTGGTGATGCTGGTCAGTACTGCAGCCCAGGACAGCAAGCTCTGCATCTATTCCGTGTGCCTCCAACTGCAGGTCAGTGTCGGTCTCAAAGGCCCTGATAAAGGCCATGTCTAACTGCAATGATTAAAAAGTAATTTGCCTTCTGGCAAAGCCCAGCAGCAGCAGTAAAGAGACTGACAAAGTCTTCTTACTATCTTCAGGAAACAAGAGGGTCATGCTACCACTGAATTAAAAACTCATATACGTAACTTTTTTTTTTCTTTTTTCTTTTTTTTTTTTTCTAAGACATTTTCAAGTACTTCCAGGCAGGGTCTTTCCTCCCCAGCTGTTGTGGTCCTGGTCCTATTCTGTCACAAACTGCTCCACACAAGCCAAGGCAGGCAAACCTGAATTTAGATGGCACTCCCAGGGTTAGTGATGCACACCTGCCAGTCCGGAAGAAGAACTTGTTTCTGTTCTGCTCAGCTATGAGAGCATGAGGGACACAATAATCTATTAAATAATGTGCCTCCCCCAAAATAATAGCTCTGTACAGTCCTAGGAAAGATCCTTGGCCAGCC